GATTTTCGACGTTCATCACCTAGTGAACCTAATTTCTAAGTGTGGTGGATCAGCACACCATAATTTTTTGGATAATCCTTTTTATATAGAATTAGATTTTGGGATATTCGCATTATCATTAGTGGAGAGGTTACTGATTCTGGGAGCAGGTTAAGTGTAACCCAGGGGTGTTTTTATCAATAGGAGAGGGCTAAGGTAAGGGAATACCAAATAATATACTGGACCCTTTGCCATACAAGAAAGGGAATGAGAAGTTGCTTTCTGAATGTTTCCCTCTTGTAAAAAGGCTAACGTTCTTGAGCTTAATGTACAAGTCCATCTTTACTAATCAAAATTTAAATGGGTTTTCAGTAGCTCAAGTTTTTTAGCCAGTGAGTGCTATGAACAGCTGTGCCGCGTTTTGTGAGCTGTTCGCGTTCTGTTCTCTATAATCTGCGTTGTTCACAGCACGGTAACCCAGAATTAGCATAGACAGATGTTATTACCAGCTGACGAACTCGTTCGCCTACACTCGCTTGTTGGTTGGGTTCTGCTGCAGTTCGTGTTGAAGACAATTCACCCTACAATTCAGCGATTGTTCGATATTGTGTGCTAAGCGTTTTGTGTGGCTGGCCCGACGTGGAGAAGGAAAAGGAAAAAATCGCGTCTGAAGATAGCAATAAACCATAATGCGCGACACAGCTGTGTGCACTATGCGGTTCGATTTGCTTCTATGAGGGAGTCGGTAAACTGCAAGGAAGGGTCGTAGAAGTCAGAAATGAGTCAAGTTGGGAGGAAATCATGGATTAGTCCTGGTTTTGTTCATATAATTTGTAAAATCTATACTCAAATAGATTTTTTTGTTCCCGATCACCTTATTATTCTCTTCAAAGGCCGATAATAGTTGGTTGAAGGCAATATTTTTTAGCAAACTTTTTTAGGAATTGGGAAACGTCCCAATCAGCATTACCTACCTTCCGGCTGTCGCGCTATGCTACGATTGAACTACAGCTTCAGTGAGCAGGTGAGCATAAAATCATCAAATTTAATTTAATTTCTGTCTCATTTTTACTATTATGGATTCTGACTTTGAAAGTTTTAAGCTTGGCATCCCTTAAATACATATTTTCAGCTGCTGAAAATCACTACTCTCCACGATGAACATCTAAACCATGAAGTTTCTCCAGAAATGTTCAGGAAAGTGTCGGCTAAGCTTAAAAGGTCGTCATGTGGAGGTAAGGGACCACCAATTATAGTGTTCAAATTCAAATTCATAGAAATAGATGTTTTAGCACCCTCTCCTGC